CCCTAAATATATGACGTTTTGGTAGTTTACCATAATAGTTGTGTTTCTATTGTAGTCTCCCCCATTGCCATTAGGCTTGATAATTTTTCCAACTCAAATAACTAAGAGTTGCAATTAGCTAAATTCTAAGTCTTACTTCTTTTAGAGAACGTCAACACTTTATATATGAAGTGGCAACATTACAAAGAGTCCCCGGAAACACTCCGAAGTTGAATGAAAACAGAAAGACCACTATAGTTCATAAATGACTTGGTGAGAACATGAGCCAAAACATTAAATTGCCGATGCACATGCTCAAAGATCGCAGAAGAAAAGCCCGAAGCTACATACTTGATGTGCACCACCACAAGATCCCATTAACGAGCTATCACGAACATAAGAGTTTAGTCGTTGCACCAAAGAAAGGTAGTCTGAGGCGAAGATCACCGTATTGAAACATTCATCACGTGTTAGTCGGTACAAAGAGCAAATGTCTCATCATAGTCACAACCATACTCCTACTAAAAGCAACAGGCAACACGAGATGAGCTTTGTAGCACTAAAAAAACAAACAAGTGACTTAACCTCATAGACTCACTTACAAGTGATGCGACGAATACGGGAAGGAATAGAAACGAGACCCACGTGGCGGTGCGCTCAAGAGCAGCAATCTCCTCTGTCACGCCATGCTGCCATTTGGGATCAACAACAGAGTGACCATAAGAAGTCAGTTTGTCACAAGAAAAACCATAATAGTCAGCGGGCAGAAGCGGGTGATCACGTAAACCATAAATAGGCAGAGCTGGAGGCAGTGCGTTGCCGGCAGATTGAGACATGGTCATTGAGAATTTACCAAACCACACACACGCGCGCGCGTGCACACACATGGGTGCTTTTTTTTTTTAATGTACATGGGTGCATTTTCGATATATGTTTTGCCAAACTATTTCACATCTTCCACATAAGCTAAAATATGTAATATGTAAGTTTGTATATTGCAAAGCTAATTAATAACACTAATTCCACGCGCCAAGTGTAGGGGGACATATTCTTTGGTGCCTCTGATGCTCTGAGCGTACAAATGTGCGCGTGGGAATTGTACTCCTCCGTGCATTGCAGTTGGCTTAAGAAGCAGCTAGTCAGCTTAATAATGGCTTCATAGCCTGGAGCATGGAGTCCAGATTAATGTGGTGCACGCACACATGCGGGGATGTATGTCTCCCGTGGCGCAGGACGCGGGCCTGTCCAGTCACCACGTTGAGCTGGACGAGCCCAACTGCGCTCACGGACAAGACCAGCGTGCCGCTCCTCTCCCCGAATCCATGGAAGCGAATCGGGCTGTGCCGAACACCCCAGTCGGCCATGTCTACCAGCACCCGCCGGCGCCACGTCCCCTCCGACGACAACGTCCACATCGATATCGCCTGCGCCTCCGACACGACCACGCCCAGCTCCCCGGCCCCCGAGACGACCAGCATAGGTGCCGCCTTTCTGGTCGCAGGTGGCTCCACTCCGTCGATCAAGTCCCACGGCAGCTCGATCATCCTCACCGCCCCCGTGTCCACGTGCAGAGCGATGATTCGCAGGTCGTGGTCGTCGAGCTCCGGGTGGAGGCGTACGTACCAGTGCACGGTGCGCCCGATGACCACGGGGTGGGAGTCGTCGCATGATTTGGATGGTGGGTGGTGCGCGGGGAGGCGGGGTGCGCGGACGGCGCTCCATCGTCCGTCCCGCGACGAGTAGATCTGTGTCCAGAGGGCCTCGTCCGCGACCAGCAGCTGGAAGGAACGGCAGTGGTCAACGACGGCGATCAAGGCGAACTTGTTGCAGCCGTAGACCTCCGTGGGAGGGACGTCGGAGGCGTCGCCGGTGAAGCTACTGCACACCCTGAACTTGGGTAAAGGATGGTGGTCGTGACGGAGGACGACGAGGCCGTCCCGCCAGGCCACGGGCTCGAGCTCGAGGCTGGCATTGAAGCGGGCGGGGAAGGACTGCGGCGGCACGGTCTTCCGGGCCACGTTCTTGCGGGGGCTGCCGTCCCAGCGCTGGCTCCAGTAGGAGACGCCGCGGAGGAGGTCTGGGTTGAAGCCGCCGTTGGCAGCGGCGCGGACGGCCAGCCGGCGGCGGAAGTCCTGGTCGATGATGGCGCCGCGGAGCCGTTTGGAAGCGGCGGCGTAGCGGACGATGGCCGCGGGGTCGGAGCGCGCGGCTACCTCAACAAGGAGATCCAGAGGGAGGCGCGGCGTGGTCGCTTTGACGATCGTCTCATCCCCGCGCGGGCCGGTTGAACCCGGGCTTGCGCGCTTGGTTGACATGGTGATTTTCTGAGGAGCAGGCTCGCTGCGCCGGTCCGGCTACCCTGGGCTCCTTGTCGTCGGGGCGGCGAACGGCGAGGCGACGGGCGTGGACGGAAGCTCGAGTCCACTGTCCACAGCAGGCGGCGGCGTGAGAACGGGTCGGGGCAGGAGATCTGATCGAGTTGTCCTCTCAACTAAAAACTGTTGGGAGATGTATCTGGATCGGATCGGACGGCTGAGCATTCCTAAAATCCACCGCGTGGGTAGGGGTATGTTTTACTTGAAGAAGGGAATGTCCAGCCTCTGAACTGCAGCGCTGCATTGTCCGCTTCCCCCAAACTAGACTCTTTTGGAGGGCTCCTTTCAAAGAAATTCCATAGGATTTTTATAGAGAATTTATTAAATCTTTAAGAAAAATTCCTATATTGGTTGTAAGATTCACAGGATTGGAATCGTTAGGAAATTTTCCTAAGAGTTCATATGCATTGGAGGAAAGTTTTATGTGCACTCAAACTTGTTGCTATGTGATATCAAACGCTATTTGACCCAAATCCATGTAATTTTTATGCTATTCACGTAGGAGATATGCCATTCTAAGCCTGCGGTTTTGCTATCTTTGTCTTTTGAGAATTGTACGGAACAAGGAAGACTTAACCTTTTTGCTCATGTGAAACATGAGAGGTATTACTTTCATAAAGCATGCGAGAGTGTCCTCCGCGTCGTTCATTTCTGGGTCGAGTATTGCGGTGGCTCTCCACGCCGTCTGATCTGGCCGAACGGCGTGGCCCCGGACCACCCGCTTCCGCGGTCCATTACATGTGGACTGCTGGCTCGGTCGGGGCGACCATCATTCGACAGGTTTGGTAGTGCCCGCGCGTGAAGGGAAGGTTGCCTCGCCTGACAGGTTCTTTACATTCGATGAGCTGATTCGGTCGGGGCTACTGTCATGCGGCGGGTTTGGTAGCACCCGCGCGCGAAGGGAAGGCCGGACCCGCCTGTCGGTGTCTTTGCCTCCGATGATCTGGTTCGGTCGCACCAGCCGGCCAGGGCTAAAGCCTGCCTTGGCCGGGAGGCCCTTTGCATCGTTCATTTTGCCATGGCTTCCCGCGGTCACATGTTTTTTTTCTAGGTTGGTTTATCAACCGCCTTTTCTATTCTAGTCGATTTTACTATTAAGATACTTCTTATTTATTTAGAAAAGTAGTATGATTGTGAGCTAATTGTGTAGGCCCGCGGTAGCCCTACGTGCCTACCGTGTGTCACACACACAAAAATCCTGGTCGGTTTTTGAACCAAATATTTTATTTCATTTGTTGTTTCATTAAAACATCTTTTAGTTTTCGTAATAGTATTCAAGAATCATTTTGTGAGTTTTGAATAATGTTTACAAATCTGAAGAAAGGTTCATGAATTTAAATGATGCTCCCAAAACCGGAAGGATCACTCCACATGACAGGTCCAATAATCATATGCACGAAATATGAATTGCTATAAAAACCATTGAGAGGGGAAAAAAATCTACAACTAACGAGTGACGTGGCAAAGCGTGCACTTACCTCTGTATAGTGAAAATTATTAGAATTAGCTTGTCGTTCATCAAGCCGACCTAGCTCAGTGGTAGAGCGCGTGGCTTTTAACCACGTGGCCGTGGGTTCGATCCCCACGGTCGGCGATCAGGTGATGAACCTTTTTTTTTCCACAAAGCGCAAAAGAAACACT